TTTCATTACAGCCAGATCAAAGGATCATCTTTACAGCAGAGATGAGGTGAGCCTGTTTTGCTGAAAACAGCAGCTACTGCCAAAATATGACTTTGATGTAATATCAAATATTTTGGAATGTGAGATGAAATAAGTGGTTTGAGCACAGTCTTCAACTTTTCTTTTTTCTGGTTTTTGGTTTGGTTGGAGTGTTTTGGTGGTTTTTTTTTGTTGTTGTTGGTTGGTTGTTTTTTTGTTTGTTTGTGGCTTTGTCGTTTGTTTGGTTTTGAGTTTGGTTTGGGTTTTGGGTTTTTTGTTTGTGTATTTTTGGTTTTTTGTTTTGTTGTTTTGTTTGTGGGGTTTGTTTTGATTTGGTTTGGTTTTATTTGGGCAAGTAGCTTCAGCAGTTGTGCAGTCGAAGTTCACCGGTTCTGTTTGTTCAGATGAAGATGGTAGTTACTGCGCATTCATTAGAGTGATTTCAACATCACTCTTTGTAATTTTTACAAAACCTGGTATAATTTTTAAGTTGCCCAAATTTTCCTCCTTTCCTCCAACAGAGTTACGGTGTAAAATTTGGGTAGTGGTAAATTCTTTCTAGGCTCTTCTTCCAACAAAAGTGGATTAACTATTTGAGAGTTTTGAATTTGGGGACAAAATGTCTTTTCTTACAGTGTGTTTCTTTAGTGAATATTCTGGCAATTATCTAAGTTAAGTTTGAACTGAAAAGTCACAAAGGGAGCCATAAAATATATGATTTCCTGCCTTTGTATTACCACATGCATTTCTAGTACTTTCACACTTCAAAGGTTATTTTAGTTCATATTGTATAAAAGGGAATTTCTGCATGCAATTTCATAGAGAAAAGGTGTAGAAATGTCTCCAAACTATTTCCAAGAGTTTTCCTGCTGACTTGTATGCATATTTTCAATTTATTTTGTCACAAAAAATATCAGCATGAGTCAGCAGTACTGTGTTTAGCTTTCCTAATATAGTCAGTGGATAAGTATCTTCAGGGAAAATCTTCTGTTTATCCTCAAGGGGCTTGATCTGTTTATTTATATTTTATTATTTCTACTTGTATGTTGAAATCTTACCGGTCTTGCAGAAGAGACAGAATGCATGGAAGTTTCCCTAATTAATGCCTAAAGTACTTCCAAATGGATATAAAAAGGTCTGAGGAGCATTTACTAAAAGACAGAAATTAAATTATAATTTCTAAAGTGCAGCGCTTTAGCAATTTTCAACCATAATTTTAGGGGAAGGAAAAAGTTCACTATAATATGCTTTTGAGGGTAAACAAAAGAAGTCTGGCAGTAGGTCACAATTGCAAAGATTAATTTCCAGTTTTTTAAATGCTTAAGCTTCTGCCCTCCCTCTCTGAGAATCTGCAAGAAAATAAGCCATTAATCTCATACCAGGGGCAAAAAATGGAAACTTTCTTTGGGCAGAAAATACGATTAAGGACTCTTTGAAGAAAATGCTGTGAATCTCATATCTTGTATTTACTGGCAACATAGACATTTCCTTGACAGATGAAATAATTCCTTTTATATTTCCTTGAAGCTGACATGTAAATTACTTAAATGCTTGTTTGATTTTCTTTTGGGCCAATTGTAGCACCAGCTCCAATACAGTGGTTTTAGTGGTATTGTGTGTGTCATAAAGAAATGAATAGAGATAGAGATGGATTATTAGCTGGAAGTTCATTTTGCAACTAAAGTCCATAAATAAATTGATCCTCAAAACGATTTCTCATATTGAATTTCTTTGCAACTGTTTCAGAAACCCATTTTTGATTTAAAAAATTGGCTGGTATTCTTCTGTTACCTGATTGGGTAACATTTCTTTAGCATGTATTTTTGAATTTAATATTCAGTTGAGTAGTCTTATTTGTAATTCCATTTCAAAGATTTTTTGTGAGAAGTAGGGGCCTATGTACAAAATATATATCTGCAGGTGCCTAAAATAATGCTTTTTAATTCCTATAAATTATTTTCAAATCCATTATTTCATCACTGTAAAGAGCAGTAAAATTAAAGACATTGTGCTCCAACAATCTGCAGGAAAGCTAACAACTGTGAGAAGAAAATATTAGTAATTCAAGCCTTTTACCAAGAACCCAAAAGTGTAGGGAACTGTTAAAAACAAGTTTAAGTGTCCTTGACCAGAACTTAGTATTATTTATTTTAAAAATCTGGCCTTTAAAGAGTTTTCTAGTTACTTGATTTTTTCAGCTTATTAACTCAGAGAACTCTCTAGCATATAGACTTACAAGACTGAAAATTTCAGATACATAAATTCCTATTAGTAGTCAGCAAATGAAGTGTCCAACAGAAAATAAAAATTACCTTGCATAGGAAAATAATGCAACATTTAATTACATAATTCTATCCCTTTAAGAGAGGAACACCACTTACAGTTATTTACCACAAATGATGTGTTTTGATACCACAAGCTACATTTGACAGCATTTTATTTAGCTAAAATTGAAAGGCTGTGAAAGATTTCATGATCATGTTGAAGACATAAAGAGGGACCATGAGCTCCATAACTTCAATCTTAAAATAAAGGAAAAGCAGACTGCAGACTGGAGAAATCAATGAAGGTTTGAAAAGTTTTGCACATAAGGATACATTTATTTAAAATACTGTAGTAGCAGATGGGGAAGTTTTTTTTTCCTTATGTATTAGATGTGTGATGGGATATAATTACAAAGTGACAAAAAGTAGTGTGGGATTCACAGAGTTAATAGAAGAAAGAGATTATTTTACCAAGTTAAAGAATAATATTATGGCTGGTTTCAGAAGTCAGTTTTATTCTAGGGTGGAGATCTGGTTAAGGAGATTGAATACAAAAAATATATGAAGGATGTCTTATAAAAAAAAAGAAGCTAGACAAAATAAACATATTTTGCTTGACATGCTTAATATTAGCTTGAACTAATACTTACTAGCCAGAAGGAAATATATCTGATAGAAATGAGGAGTAATGATCATAATTTTTATTAACCTTGGGAAACAAAATAAAGGCAAAGCTGAAAATGCCATTAAAAACCTAGAATCTGTAGCCCCATCTATTGGCTGACCTGAGAATGTTTCTTACTAAGATACAATCTCCTCATACAGCTAAGAGAAAATAAGGGAAAAACCTGATATTTTTAAATTGGTGAATGACTACCCACACTGGCTATTCACCCCTTGCTGCCTCATTGGAGGCTTTATTAGGAGTTGAGGAGAAGAAAGAAATTATGCGTTGAATTTAGACTAAACATTCTTGCATGGAGCAGGACAAAGTTAAGCCATACATTCATAATAGCTGACCTCCTAATAGGAAAGATAGAAGAAAGGACCAGGATCAGGAATCAGTGAGGACATTCTAATAATTTGGAAAGGAATTGAACATAATAGATGGTGTAAAGTAATCATATACTTGCACACTTTGTGGTTTCACTGAGACAGAGGTTTCTCTGCCCTGGCAAGATAAGAGCAAGTTACTAATTTAAAACAAATCAGAATTTAAATTGTTCACTAGAAGTAATAAAGTACTGGGGGCATGGGATGGAAATAACAGGTGGAACAGGCTAACATTCAGCTTGTGTAGCATTCCCTCTTTTTTCTGTGTACTGCTTTTGACAGTATGCATGATCTTGGGTTTCCTGTTAAGTATCTCTCAAACCATGTTACCTTTTGAGATTTGCCCAGTACCTTCTAGTATCAAATCTACTGCATTAAGCCAAAGTCTCTTTGGAGGTGTTTGCTTTCTGACAGGCTGTTCACTGGGATTAGCATGCTTCGGTGACATTGACAAAGTAGCTTGACCTGCTGTTGCCTCTGCTTCTTCTTTTTTAAGACATTGAATTTGACTTCAAAATATGATGGACTAAAAAAAAAAACAAAAAAAACCCCAAAAAAACCAATGCACAAAACTCCAAACAAGAAAAGCCTTTCTCTTTTCCAGGAACGTCAACTAAGATCTAAGACACTTGTGTGCAACTCTCAGGCCAAATAAATATTGAAGTGCTATATTAAAAATGGAATAGTATCCAGAATAGAACAATATTAATAAAATAGATGAAGTAATCCAGCCCTAAATACCAGCTACTCTGATGATTACAGTCCTCTTCCCGTGTGTATGGACAGAGATAAATATAGGTCTCCTGTACACTGACCAGCTGTCTAAACCCATAGGCAAATCCTTCTCCTTGAACATGTTTCTGACAAATGTCAAAACTTGGCTGGTCATTCCCATTTTTTACTTTTTTTTTCTTCCTGATCTTGCATTTGTTAAAATTTTCTCACTATAAATAATGTGTTTTATTCAGAATAATTAAAAAATCCACCTTCGTAAAGAAGGAATTCTTAAAATTATTCTCTTTTTCTTTGAGAGAAATGTAATTGGATTCATGAGAGCTTGGACTGAAAAATATCTTTCCTCCACTCCAAATTCTTCAGTTCAGCCCTGACTTTCTTCACCGGCCAAAGTTCTCAAAATCATGTGTCTATAAACACTGCCAGCATAGGATGGTAGGAAAGAACAATGCAGCAAACAAGTCCGCAGAACTGAGGAGTCCTCAAGTCAGAACCACACTTTCTAAATAAATTGTGAACAGGAGTTACTTTTAATTCTCTTGCTGGTCTCTGATATTACCATCACTAATGGTAATGTCACCCTAAATCCTTTCATCTTACTGCTGCTAAAGCATAGTGAGCACAAACATTTATTTTGGCCATTGTTCCTCTCCTTACTTGAAGCAGCGTCACATAAAAATGAAAATAAGAGCACTTGATTAGGGTCCGAACATGTTCATGTTTTGTAATGACATTTAAAATTATAATATACTTGCTTCCTGTAAGAAAATCTAACATTTTAAAATATTAAAATCTGACTCACCAGAACAATGAGGGGAAAACAAAGATTAAATAAATCTAAAAGAAAAGTGAAAAATATCATGCCTGCAGGCAAAATTTATTCAGAATCACATTTATTTTAGAAAAAATGAGAAAGTCTAATGGCAAAAATGATAGCCTGATTTTGTGAATTTCCATACATAAAATCAAAAAAATAGAGGTCAAAAATTACACAAAGTAGTGACCAAACACCCATACACACAATGATTTCTACATTCAAGATTTCTCATGCGGAATTTTATTATTGTGAGAGTTCTCAAAAGAATAACAAAATATGTAAGAGGAAAAATCATGTGCACACAGGGATTACAGTGGGGAAGGAACTACATTGTGAATCACATTTATTTTAGTTACTTTATTTTAGTACTGTAGTTAAAGAAAAATACCTCGAATACAGTACATATGCTGTGACATTTTATACCCTGATAAAAACTGACAGAATAAGACACTACTTAATATTCTTAAAGAAATGCTATTTAAAAAATTATTTGTAATGATAAATTTTGACACACAATCAATCATTTTCTTTTTTCTCCAGTTTTTATCAATGCAGTTTCCAAATATTCTGGAGATAAAGACTCAAGTATAAAATGATAAGTAGATATTCAGCTGAATAAGTGCAAGTCAGATATCACTAGCTGCAGATAGTGCCACAATACTATGACTTTTTGCACTTAAGTCTTGTCCCTAATTTGCCTGTATCGAAAATTTGAATGAGATTGGTTCAGTGTACAAGAAGAGGTAGTTTGATTCACAAAATAAGATACTTTGAAAACATATCTGAAAGTATAATAAAAAAAAAAAGAAAAAAAGTTATGAGAAACATTTGTATAGTAAGATTCTGCTAGCCAAAATTTCTTTTTCTCTCAGACAACCAGTGAACTTGAAAATTTAGTAAATGTATGTAGAAAATATAATGAAACCTAAACAGAATTACTGAAAGCCACAACAGTCTTATAGTACATGATATCAAAATCTTTTTGAAAAATCCTAAAGGAAAATTATTTTCTTTTTTCTAAACTGAGTGAACAGGGTTCACTTTAACTTGAGTTAAGTGTATGTACAGGCTGGAAGAAAAAAAAAGAAATTACATGGCAAACATTTCCAAATGCAGCAACTTGAGATCCAGAGGATTCCTAGTCCTCCCAGTATACCCAAATCTGTGTGCTTTTTAGCATAAATATTTCCATGGTCTTTTAGGGATCTCCAGCACAAATGAGGAAAAAAAGAGATATAGAATATATCTCTCTAGCATGCTCTTTCAGATACATTTTAGAAAGGTTCATTTGTTATGTAAAATACAAAAGAATTTCTTTTGTGACAGATACCAGATCATGTCTTAGGTGTTTAAAAAGAAGAATTCTAGGATAGAACCTGGAATTTAGGGTTTTCAAGAGACAAACCATAAAAATGAGCTTGCCTTAATATTGTCTTTGCTTTTCTTCAACTATTCTAACTATGGCAATTTCCAGAGCCTCATAGATTGGTCTTGTGTTCTGTCATCCCAGAATTCTCAAAATCTTCCTTTTCAGGCTCTGAGATTCAACTCTGATGCCACATTAGAGATTCAGAAGGACTACATAACTGTATTTCTGACTTCTTCAATTTATTTTTTATATGTTTGCATGAAAAAATTGTGTTTGGGTTGTTGATTTTTTTTTAATGTTAAAACTAACATCTCCCAAAAGCCATAGAGTTCTTGTACAAGTGTTTTTTTTTCTCCCATATTATAATACTCTTCAAATTTCTTCATTTTTTCTGATAGGTAATTTGCTCATCTCCAGCCATCTAAAAGACATGTACAGTATCTTCAGATATCGACATAAAGGTTTTCAGGACAATGTCTCCTGTCAGGATGTATGAGAAAGACTGAAGATGACACATCTTTTGGCTGGGAAGTCTGGTCTTCCAATTTCTTTTTATTTTAAAAATACCTCACTGCTCAAGATAGTGTAAACTTGTGTGTGTAGTCCCATGTAATGTGCAGTGTAAATTGTAATCCTTAAACACTAAGCACTCTTTTGGTAATTCTGATTTCCTACATTTCCAGATCTCTCCCCATGCCTTTGAAGCGGATTTCTTTTTCATCTTCTGATAAGTTCATCTTTCCTTATAAGTATCAGTAATTTTTTTCAGCTTTTTAAAACTTTTTAATGTTTTTTCCACTCAATTTTACACACAGAACTGTTTACAGATCAGCCCTTATTAATATTTCATGCACTATGAGCAATATGAGTCTTCTCTAGAAAAGCTACCTTCTTATAAGTGGATAAAGAGTGATTCATCATGCCCTGTGCTTCTGTTTGGAAAACAGCCTGAGCTGTTAGTAAATTAATAATATTGACATTTGTAACTCTCTTCAGAAACAGTAAAAGAGTATGAGTGTTATCTACTGTATATAATACTTACTTGCTCTTAAGAAAAGAACCCTCTGTAACTGTTCCACTGACAAATGAGCAGACATTAAAAAAGTGAGGTCAAACTCATGCATCCAAAAGTTGCAGATTTCACTATGTCTTAATCAGCTGGAAAATCTTGTAGAAGAATAACCTATAAGATATGTAAGCTCAGCAAATAACATTATATGGTTAAATCTTCACAGTAAGTGAAACTTCTGCTTCAGAATTTGTTTCTTGAAAATTTTTCTAATGAAATAATTATTTTCAGGTCATGTACATTTGATTTAGATATTCATCACTTTGTTACTTTAAGATGCAGATTTTTCAGTTGAAATTGTGGAAGATGGAAGATTTTTAATTTTCTTTCCTCTCTCATTGATCATTCTTTCTTCTGCTTGATCTCCCCTAGATTTAAACAGAATAAAACTTGGTAAAAAAGAGTGATTTGTGTACTGTTATGTACAACTTGAAAAGTTACAGCCAATTAATAATGTTTATATTGACACAAAAAGGGGAATGCTTAGATAGGACAAATCTTGAAATATGTTGATCTCCTGCAAAATATGTTGATCTCCTGCAAAAAATATTGATCTCTGGTTGATCTCCTACAAGAATGGAAACAATGCACATATGAGACCAAAATATTTCAAATACACATTCCCTTCTGTTATTCAGCTCATAAGAAAATCTGTACAGGTTGCTTTCTCAAAACATGCATTTTTATAAACCATTTGAATATAGCAAAATATAAGCGTAAAGAATGACAATAATATGAACTGAAGTTCTTTTTTAGCACTTTGAATTATTTCTTACTGTTTTTGCAGTCTGTGGGGTTTTTTTGTTTACTGGAGCATGAGTTAAATAACCACTCCCTGCAAATTCGGATGAAGACTTTTGCCATGAATCATGCTTGGCTATGACCAGGGATAATGTGTTTATGCATGTCTGGAGAGATCATCCAGTACTTCATGGCACAACATTTACTTATTTTGTTCTATAACTTTAAAAAATAATTTTATGCAGTAATTTCTATATTACTAGATTCATTGTACTCTCAAATTGCATTATTTCATGGCTGATAATTTCTTTCATTAATTATTGCTTGCATATGTTGAAATTACATGTTTTTCCCTCTCAGGAAATAGCAGTTTGTAGTAATAGAATGCTCAAGTAGAAAAATGAACCCCCAAAGGAAAAGACACAGATATTGAATTAAACTTGTTCAGAAAAAGGACTGTTTCAAACTCTTGTTTCAAGAAACCAAGATTGATATTATTGTTAGTATATCTCTAGGTCATAATTTCCTAATATGTAGTTGCAATGCTAATGAGTTAGAATCCAAGGAATAAATTATATTCAGGTAAGATTTCTTTACTTTTTTCCAAGTTTGTGAATGTGACATAAATGATCTATAGTATTATAATATTTTTTAAAAAGCATGTCTTGCAAACGTTGCATGCAAATGTTTCCAATTTGTGAATGCAAATGTAGTCACAACTCTAGACTGTGTCCCGAGCCCCTTCTTTGTTCCCTTAGTCATGCAAGATACTCCAGCTCTCCAAGAAAACCCTCAAAATTTGAGTTAGAGTCTCTCAAACTCTCACTATCATGCTGGGGCTGGATTCTTAGCTCTCACACTCAGCAATGAGTGAATTGCTTTTCCAGGAAGCAGTTACATGGAAAATCCTCCACATCCAATGTGTCAAAGTTGCTAGGACTGTAAAGAAATCCGCTGGCACATACACAAAAAAGAAAATCCTAAATATGTGCTTAAAATTACCTCAAGAGAAATAATGGATATATCAAAATTTAATCCTTTCCAAAGTTAAAACATGTCAAACTTTCCTAATTTAGTCATACAACATTGAGAGACTCTAATATTTACATTTTAAAAGCATATGAATTGATTCTAAATTTTGAGAGAATGTCAAATTAAATAAAGACTACTAGGATGCTGAATAAATAATCTAAGGCAGAATCTCTTCCACTTCAGCTTAGTAGCACCTCTACTATCATGACACATAAATAGTCATGACCCAGACACATTAATAGGCAACATTTTTGGTGGATTTTCTGAAAAAAAAAAATATAATAGTGCTTGATTAGTTGACTGACATCAAGAAAATAGATTTTTTTTTAAGATTGATTCTTACCATACATTAATCTTCCTTAATTTTGTGCTGGTTTGACTTTGTCTGGATGCCTGGTGCCTACCAGAGGTGCCCTATCCTCTGTGGACAGGTGAGAGCAAATACAACAGAATGCTCATGGGCTGAGATAAAGACAGAGAAATAATATCATGGGCAAAACAGATCCAACTTGTGGAAATTAATTTATTTTCAATCAGATCAGAACAGGATAATGAGGAAAAAAATCTTAGAAATACTTTCTCTCAATCCCTCCCTCCTTCCTTAGCTCAACTTTATTCCTGATTTTCTACTTCCTCCTCCCAGTGCCATGAAGGGATGGGAAATGGGGGCTGCAATCACTTCTTCACACTCTGCCGCTTCCTCCCCATTGTGTGTAGGGCTCCCCTCACTCCTCCCCTACTCCACCAGTGGGTTTCTCCCATGGGAGACAGTCCTCCATGAACTTCTCCAATGTGAGTACTTCCCTTGGGCTGCAGCTCTTCACCAACTGCTCCCTCTTGGGTCCCTTCCATGTGGTACAGAATGGGATCTTCCATAGGCTGCAGGTGGAGCTCTGCCATGGAGCTCCATGGGCAGAAGGGAGCCAACAATGGATCCCCATTGTCTCTTCCTTGGGCTGCAGTGGGATATCTGCTCTGGTGCCTGGAGCACATTCTCCCCCTCCTTTTTCACTGACCTTGGTGTCCACAGGGCTGTTTGTCTCACATCTGCTCACTCCACTATTCACTGGCTGAGAGAACTTTTGTGCAATAATTTTTTCCACTTATTTTATCCCAGAGGCTCTGCCACCATGACTGATGGGCTAGCCTTGGCCAACAGCAAGTCCATCTTGGTGCACTGTCACTGGCTCCATCAGACATGGGGGAAGTTTCCAGCATCTTCCCAGAAAATCAAACCTTATAGCCCCCCCCACTATCAAAACCTTGCCATGCAAAGTCATGCTCTGTTGTGTGCCTCTGAAACAAATTCACAATAACTGATAAAGAAGAAAGCCCTACAAAAGTGGTCAAATACTCCTCTAGTACAGTCCGGCTATGTACACTCTAAGTCAGTACAACAAAAGGGACCACGTGATTTCAAACCCTGTTGTCATGGATTGGTGCTGGCTGGATGCCCAGGTGCTCACAAGAGCTGCTCTCTCATTTCCCTCTAAACAGAGGAGAGAAAATTTAATGGAGGGTTCATGGGTTGAGATAAGGACTGGGAGAGATCACTCGCCAAATACCATTAAGGGCAGAACAAGGTCAGCTTAGAGACATGACGTGAATCTATTACTAACAAAATCAGAGCAGGATAATGAGAAGTAGAACAAACCCTCAAAAGCACCTTCCCTCCATCCCTCCCTCCTTCCAGCTGTACCTCCTACCCCAGCAACACAAGGAGAGAGTGAATGAGCTCAGTTCATCCATCACCTGTGGCTTCTCCTGCTGCTCAGGGAGAGGAGTCCTTCCCCTGGTGCACTGTGGGGTCCCTCCCTTGGGAGACACTTCTCCATGATCTTCTCCAGTGTGAGTCCATCTCTCACGAGCAGCAGCTCTCTGAGAACTGCTGCAATATGAATCCATCCCATGGACAACAGCCCTCCCAAATCTGCTGCAGCGTGGGTCACTCTTCCGTGGGGTGCAGTCCTCTGAGGACAGCCTGCAACAACATGGGAACAGGGCCCCTTTCTCTCCACAGGTCTCCTACAGGATCACAGCCTCCTCCAGTCATCCACCTGCTCCAGTGTGGGGGTCCTCTCTGGATTGCAGGTGGATCTGTGCATCCCTGTGATTTTCTATGGGCTACAGGGGCACAGCTGTTTCACCATGGGCTGCAGAGGAATCCCTGCTCTGGCACTTGGAGCACCTCCTGCCTCTCCTTCTCCACTCACCTGGATGTCTGCAGAGCTGTCCGCCTCACATGTTCTCACTCTGCTCTTTTCTGGCCCATATTAAAACTGAAAAAAACCTTTTGTTTTGGTTTCTTCTTAAATCTGCTATTATAGAGGTGTTACCACCCTCTCTAACTGGCACAGCCTTGGCCAGCAGCATGTCCATCTTTGGAGGCACCAGGGGTTGGCTTGCCAGACATGGTGGAAGCTTCCAGCACCTTCTCACAGAAGCCACCTCCGTGAACCCCCGATACCAACACCCAGGCCGTGCAAACCCAATACACCTATAAAGAATGCATCTAATAGATGCTCTCCTGAACTCTAGACATAAATAAATACTGGACTCTCAAACCAGCAAATTTTGAAATAAATCTTATTCCTTTCCTACTGGACTTAGATCTGCCTCACAGAGTAGCTAAGAGCTTTTATAGAAGATCAAAACTTGGGTGTAGGACAGGTAACATGAAAAGATATTTACTTTTAATTTTTAGTAAGTTCTTGTAAGTCCAATTCTTACTTCAAACTGCATGATTTCACTTGATGCATTGTTTATACACACAGAATTTCTCCCACAGATGATTGTTTCATTGGTCATATCTTTGTTTCTATAAATAATTGGCAACATGTGGCAATACATTAATAACCACTAATAATACTGAGATTAAATGAAGAAACAGGCATAACTGAAACCCACACTATTGAATTATCTATTATGGCTACCTGCTTTTTGAAGTACTGCGAAAAAAAAATTGTGCCATCTCAAGCTATGAGAAAGCAGTGTAACAACCTTGTTCAGATCTCTCTGCCTGCTTCTCCCCTGACACTGAGCTTTTCTGTAGATACATCTGTCATGGTTTAAACCAGGCCAGCAACAAAGCCCCACACAGCTGCTCACTCACCCCCAGTGGGATGGCAAGAGAATCAAAAGAGTAAAAGTGAGAAAAGTTGTGTGTTGTCATATAGGCAATGCTCAGCAGCAACGAAAACACTGAATTATCAACACTGTTTCCAGCAGAAATCCAGAACAGACACCCATACCAGCTTCTGTGAAAAAAGTCAATCCCAGCTAAGACCAGCAAAACATACTAATATCCTTTTTGGATTAATGGTTGTAACTTCTAAGATCCTGACAAAAACCTGAAGTCTATGACATTTTTGAAGCCAGATCGTAAAGAAGTAAGAGCAGATTTATAAACTGATTAACACAGGTGGGTTTTGTTGAGTGTTTTCCTTTTCTAGCTGTTTTGACTCTTCTGTCCCAGTGCAGGATGAATTGTTTCATGGCAAGTCGTGGGATTGTGCTTCAACCCCTCGGACAGCCAGTTCCAGGTGGCTTTCACAAGGAAATACTGCTCCCTGTGAAAGCAAAGAATGGCTTGCACTCAGCTGCCGAAGTAATTTGGAAAAACACATAGCATCAATTGTAGCATGCAACCTCTCAGACCTCCTGTTAGAGCTCTGGTGTGCGTGGCACAACAGCACTTAGCATTATGCGTGGAGCCCATCTAGCTTTGACCCAGCATTTGAGTTTGCCTCAACCCTGGCTGTCGGGGCTGTCTGCAGGGACAGGCCCTGAGCCAGTGCCACTTACAGGGGCAGCCAGGACTGGGGAAGCCTTATCTCTGGGGGGATTTCACCTGGCAGCACCTCACTTGGGGCAGGCGGTAGGAAGCACTGGAGGGGTTTCTCCAACCAGGTCGTGAAAAGGTCTGCACCAAAGGGTGCCAAAGAAAGTTGGGGCTGACCAATGGTCTCCTATCCACGGACAGATTTTGGGAGGGGCCGGGGGATATAAAAACTAACTGCATTAGGGTTCAGCGCTGCTCGCTGGGGTTCGCTACAGTTCCTTGGCTGGCTCACTCCGTCCTTTCCCTGGCCCCAGCCTGCCTTCTGGCCCTCCTGCCCTCGCTGGCTCCTGCCCGCCCTCACCCCTCTCCTGCCTCCCTGTGTCCCTGCCCACCGCACTGCTCCTTCTCCCCCGCCTCCCTGCCTGGGCTGCCCGCATTCAACCTCACCGCCCCGATCCAGCCCGTCGCCGTGACTCTGTCCAGGGTCCTGGAGCTCCCGTCCGGGCTGCCCCTCACCGCATGTCCGCCCGAGGAGCCGCGGCTCTCCGGGAGCTGCGCAGGCCCCTCGGGCCGCGGCCCGGGCCCGGCAGCGGCCCCTGATCCGCCCTGCTCTGCCCTCCGTCTTCTCTCTCTGCCTCCCCTCTCCCCCAGTCCTTTTCCATTTTCCTTCATTCTTTTCTGGCTCTTCTAGCCCTCTTCTGGGCAACTCCTTCTCCTTCTTGTCTTTGTTACCAATAAACGGTTCTCAGATACAGCATTTGGCTTAATTTCGATCCTGACTGTCCATTATTAAAACAACAGATTGCTGTTCCCCACACTGGAACGCGGTACCATAGCAAGACTTCAGTGAGGCCATAATAGTTCACTGTTAACCTCATCCTCCGCCAGAATTTTCCACTGGCCATATGGGACTACTGAAGACTGAGCAAGTCCTGCTGATTATTTTGTCTTTCCTTCGTGCTTGACAGGAACATCCTCCAGACACTGCTAATGGTTGCATCTTTTTTATTTTTTCTGTCAATATCATAGTCCCCAGGAAAAGACATAAATTTTATGGATCCATCAGCCTCCATGTCTACTGGTTCTTTTCCACTGTTTGTATGACTACTGTAGCTAAGGTTTGGGTCCCTGTCTCAACTGATGTTCTTAGTTGTAGTTTGGCTCACTGTCTCAGTCTAGGCATCTTCAGAGGCAGTCAGAGTCTCTGTCTTAACTACCCACTCCAGTATCACTGAACTGTGGCTCAATAGACCTGGGCCAAGCCTTAAAATAGCGCTAGAAGCTGCTGAGTTTTGTTGGGGAAGGCAAAATACCCTTCTACCAGACAGTGGTTTAATTAATTGAGATTATTTGCTTGGTTCAGATATCAAATCCCAGTCTATGGAAGGTGCTAACTGCCTGAAACACCCACCCAAATACTTCCACACACCCTGCCACACAGGGACGACCTGGCTAATGGCATGTTTTGCTTTCATCTCTCCCTGAAACTGTGCCCTCTTCTACCAGGATGACATTGGATTCAGGAACCTGAGAAGAAGTTGACAGTGTTAATAATATTCAACAACCCACCTAAAAGTGATCAAGAGCCTCAGGAGCTTCATCATCAAAAACACTCACACCAATCCTGAATTAGGAGCAGGATATATGCTCTCATTCTGCCCATGACAAAGCTACCCCAGCACAGCTAGGCATCAATGACAGGGCAAAGCACATGGCCATTGTTTCTATTAGTGTGTTTCCAACCTCAGCAAAATAAAGAGCTGAGCAGTGCAGCAATTAAACTCTGTGACCCTCACACAAGTCTGCCAATTAATAACTATTATACTTACAAATTCAAAACTGCCTCACATTGAGTGCCAGGAAAGGACTGTAGTGAGTTCACCTTGGAAGGCCACCAGGTGTCCACCAAGACAATTTTGAACTCCCCCTCCTAAGCAGGACATGGGGAAGAAAATAAGGTGAAAAACACATGTATCCCAATGAGAGCAGTATAATGAGAAAATGCAAAGGATGTCCATGGAAACAAAGCAAAACAGCAAGGTGCATTCTCTATTTCCATTCAGCTAATACCCAGCCTGGGAAGTAGGGCTCCAATACATGTAGAAGTTGCTTCTGAAGACAATCACCTAATAAGAAACACCTCCCTCTCTCCTTGTCTCTTCTTGTGTCTTCTTTCTGACCTCAACACCACATGGCAAGGGACATCCCCATGCCTTTGGTGCACTCCAAGTCTCTTTCCCACACCCAGCCCACCAGCCTTGGTGGGGTTTCAACAGACAGAATGGATGCTGTGCAGGCACAGATCAGTAGTTGCCCAAATACTGGTGTGTCATTCACAGCACTCTTCCTGCAAATACAAATGACACTACTATAAGGTTTGCTAAGGGGAAAGTTAATTCCATCCCAGTGAGATCCTCTAAACTTTTAAAACTTAGGGCTCCTATGAGTTGACAATTTTCCAGATGAAGTTAATATCCTGATTGGCTTATAGAAAAACCTTTTTTTTTTTTTAATTTTTTTTATTTAGTCCTTTTTACCTTAAATATGTGCACGCTAGTGGTATGGTAAATGTTTTTATCACAATATAATTTAAAGCAGCCTTAATAGCAACATAGTAGCAACTACAGCCATCTGTTCCCTGATGTCTTTATAATAGCTAATGAAATTTCTCACTAACATGAATTTTACAACAGCTTTGCATGTCTTGCTTGCTTTTCCAATTAGCTTCATAAACTTGTTCTCACATGGGGGAAATTACTAGTGAAGTAGAATTAAGTTTTAGACATCTTTCTTTCTTGGTTTTTGTTGAATCATGGCAACCTGTTCATCCAAAAAGCTGAAGATTTCAAAGTTTTCATCTGTAATTTTCTGATTTTCTTTCCACACTAGCAAATCTCAGCCATGTTTTAATGTCATTTTACTATTTTTTTAAATGTAATTAATTGTTGTGTAATGTCAAAGATGTGCTTTCCCTTGTGTAGGTGTGTATGTATATCACTCATTCTTTGCCCATCTCATTTTAAGCACCATTCATCTCTCAATTTGTTAAATCAGTAGTCTTCTTGTGTTGCAATTGTCAATATATTGCATAGAGTAAGTTCTTGTTAGGTAGAATACAGAAACTGTGAACATTTTAATAATTATTTCCTATTGCTATGCAATTCTTTAAGATGAACTTTCTTGCAACAGTAAAGCTCTCTTAACCTGGTAAAGAAATAATGATCAATTTTCTAATCAATCAATTTTCTAATTAACAGGGCGTTTTAAATGAAGCACTTGACATTGCTGCCACTCACTTGAATGCACACATATTTGATATCCTTTGATGCTAAAATTATCAACACAGTTAAATATAAGTTTCTTACATAGCAACTGGGTTGCTACTGTCTCCAGTCATT